AATTAAGAAGTTAGAGGGCAATACAGGCATAGAGATGCTTCATCAGAGGTACATGGGAGAGGAATTAAGCCCACAAGAATATCCTAAGTCCAAGGAAAAGGGCAAGAGAAGAACAAATCCCTTCTGCTTTCACAGAGAAAGCAGAAGTAATGTCAAAGGCATGAGAAAGGAGCAAAAGTCAAAAGGTGAGTGTGGAGAAGGACCTAAGTGACAGAAAAAGGGCTCTACTTCAAAGCATTATTTAGCTTTTGAGCCATCCAGGAAACCTTATGAAAACGTCTCTCAATTCCCAAAGGGATTAGGACTCTCTAAGCATATTGAACCCATTGATCACAGAGATAGACACAGTGCCCCCAAGAGAAGCTAGAGAATGAGGAAGATCCTGGGACATAACTCCTATTATGGATGGAATGTTTGTGTCCCCCTAAAGTTCATATATTAAAACCCCACCCTCTAATATGATGATACTAGGAGTGGGGTCTTTGGGAGGTAGTTAGCATTAAATGAGATCATGAGGAAAGAGCCTTCATGAAGGGGATTAGTGTCCTCATAAGAGTCCTGAGAGAGCTTGCTCCCTCTCTCCACCATGTGAGGACACACTGAAAAGACTGCTGTGTATGAGTCAGGAAGCAGGCCCTCATCAGACACTGAATCTGTCAGAGCCTTGATCTTGGACTTCCCAACCTCCAGAACTATGAAGAAGTCCATGTTTGTAGCTTAAGTCACCAGTTTATGGTATTTTGGTCTAGCAACCTGAGAGACTAAGACAACTACTATTAGAAACATAGTGTTTTATTGTTAGGGTGCAAGTCAAGTTTTGGTGCAAGTCAAGTTAGGGTGCAAGTCAAGTTAGGGTGCAAGTCAAGTTTTATTGTTAGGGTGCAAGTCAAGTGTTTTATTGTTAGGGTGCAAGTCAAGTGTTTTATTGTTAGGGTACAAGTCAAGTGTTTTATTGTTAGGGTGCAAGTCAAGTTGGACCCTAGATATGAGAGACCACGATAACCCCAGAAAGAATCCATTGTAATGCACAAATACTGAACAGACTTCACTGACTTAGTAAATAAGCATTTACTGAGCTCATCTCTGTTACAGCCCCTGAGCTGGATCTGGGCCACAGAGGTGGGGGAACAGGGCCCCAGTCCTACAAACCAAGTTCATAATTCCCAACATTGTAGATAGCAGTGAACATTCCTGGATAGAGCAGATTGTTTCACTGTAAGTGGCCTAGATGAAGAGACTACTTTATATTTATTATTAAAACTTAAATGGATCAAGCTTAAGATAAATCTCAAAAATATTTAGGTCCTCAGATATGTGGTAACCTAAATGGAGTATAAATTCTTATTCTGTGAATAACAGTTCTCAAGATTTCATGTTTTTATATAAGTTCTAATATTAAATATGTATAATTAGGAAAGTAGTGTGCATCTTTATTCCAAACTATATCTGAATCCAGTTTATTTCTGGTGGTAGAACCAAGCACTGTTCCCTTACGAAAGGTAACTACACCACATGAGTTCCTCAATATGCCAGAAGGAAAACTCAGATAGACCAAACAAAAAATTCAGAAAACTGCAGCGAACAGATTTCACAGTTTAATGTATAAAATGGTTCTGGATCTGAATTATCATGTGAGGAAAATAATCCTTTTAGCCCCTTATGTATCACCATCTTTTTTACAGTGTAGTTATCTCCCCAAAAGTGACTATAAAACCATGCTGTGTCACTCCATATTTATTCTTCCTCATTTACTTCGATATCACATTCCTTCAGTTTACAAATAGAAAAATTATTTTCTGAAAGTCTTTGCACTGCCAGCTCCAGCTGAAAACCAGAAAACACACATACACACACACACACTATACTTCCTCTCTTTCATA